AACACTTTCCGGCAGATTTCTAGCGAGAACCTTCAGCTCAACGAGGGCCACGTCCTTCCCGTTTTTGTGTTTACAGTCCAGGACGCTCCGAAGGAACTGCACCTGGTATCCAGCCCGTCCCACCGTGTAGTAGTACTCGATCACAAACACTCCCCACTAGCGGAACTTCTCATCGACCCGCTTGGCCTTGTCGGCAAAGGGGTGGAGCGAGATTGTGGAAGGGAACCCGCTTCAGCCGCGCACGACATCGAAGCTGGGTTCCCAGTAAAAGAGATCGGTGAGGTCTTCACCTCTAGCGTGAATTTCGTCAACGTCGTCAAAAAGAGTGGTCCTCCAAAGAAAAAGAGAATGGTCTGCTACGTGAGATCACATCTCACAGTGCAGGAATTGATAGCAAGAGAACCGTGGGTAGCCCCAGCGAATAGCGCGAGGGCTACGTTGTTACCAAGGGAATGGCTGGACGGTCCCGGTCCTTCACCGGGAGGCCGTCTTCACCCCTCAATTGTCATGGCAAGGCTCCGTATGAGGACTCGCCGAAACAGCAAACCACTCGACCTGCGGCTTGACCCCACGGAACGCGCGTGACAGAATGTCAGCGGTCTTGACAGGACCGTGGGAGTCTCCGCTCCGGCGGGGAATTCCAAAGAAAAACGGCCTGAACTGGCACAATCACCCAGTTCAGGCCGTTGACTTTGTCTACCCCTTGGATTACATTTCGGGTGTCACTCGAATTGGAGCAATCCAATCGGTAGGAAGTCCACGGTGTTGAGCCGGGGATTTTCTGCTTTAATGGCCTTTCCTGCCTATGCAGTCAACGTAGCACATCTTGTGCGCCTCGCACAACCGCCAACTGAGGGAGATTTCGCATTTCAACATCTGGTAGGCCGCCTAGGCGATTTCCCAGTCATGTAATCGTTCCCCTGAATGGTTTCGTGTATCCCCTCCACTTTCCCTGAATTGGCTCACACCGGTCGGCAAAGGATTGGGCGCACCAGTCGGCCACGTAGAACCCGCATCGCAGGTCAGGCTCGATAAGCCGCCACTGCTTATCGGTAAGGGTCAGTCTTGCCTCCAACCCAGTCATCCACACAACACGTCCCCGAGGTACTGCAAATTGTACTCAGCGTTTCGGACTTTGCCAGTTGAACCCAAATCACTGATGGAGACCCTGCTTTCCCCTGAGAGGCAGGCAAAAGTGGCGGTGAACGGCTTCGATGATTCTTGGCCGGCATTCACGGAGGCTGGTTGGCGACGTGTCGACCGCCAGATACACCTGAAAGATGGAATATCCGATCCGAAAGAGCACCAGAACGGAGTCGTTGTATCTATCTTCGGACGTGGGTACTGATGCAGTCAGCCAATCAAATGTCCACAGGCCCTAGAATTCTGGCCGGAAAGCCATTGGCCGGGTTTTGTGCTACGCGAAGCAGACGTATTCAAGACTTATATGGCATGGTGGTGCATGTAATACGTTGCAACACCCACTATGCCATCGATAATCGACGTTAAGAAAACGCCGGCCTGGGGGGAATCGAGGTTTCCGGCCAGACTGCTAGAGTCTTCTCCGCGACTCTCCACCAAGAGGACAGGCCCGGCAACTGCCAGGCCTGTCTTTTTTCTGGTTCCTACGGCGTTAGGTTTCGGGGTTGTGGAACGCCCGTATCACGTTTATGGCGTTCTCGTAATCGTCGACTCCAGCCTAACAGGCTGGTGTCGGTCGTCAGGGCACACGTCACGCTCTCGCATTTGAGATGAGTTCGTCGGCGGTGTCGATGGCCGCGGCGAGCTTGTTGAGGACTGCGGTCGTCCTGTTGGTTTCCTCGTTCACGGCGGCTTCCTGCCTGTTTGACTCCGTCTGCAACTCGGCGGCGGCGGTCGTTACATCCCTGGAGCGCTCACCTATGTTCCTGAGTTCCTCCCGGTTTCCCTGGGCGTTCTCGATGGCGCTGGTTGCCTCCTGCAGGGCCTCCGCCACCTTGGCGCAATGGGCCCCCAGGGTGGACCGCATCGTCGATATGCTGGTCAGCCGTGAATCGTTGGCTGACTTGGCATCCACAGCCGATGATGCCAGTTCGTCGATGGCCGGTGAGATCTCCGGCAGGATGGACTCCAGCCTGTTCCGGTGTTGCTGCATTTCGACCTCTCTCTGCTCGATCGCTTCGGTGGCCTGCTCTAAGGATTCGAGGCGCTCCCGCTCCCGTTGTCTCGATTTGAAAAAGTCTACGCTGAGGAATCTGGCAGACTCCAGTGCACTGAAGCCGGTGACGGCAAATGCAACCGCTCCGGGGCCCGACAGGCTGCCCATGGTCCCGCGGGTGGAGGATGAACCCAAGGATCCGACGGCCACCCAGGTGATTGCGCGGCTTCCTTGGGCTGCCGTTATGGCAGAATCCACTCCGTTGCCGGTGCGGACGTTTTCCTGCAGCGGGTACCATCCCAACTGAAGGCTCCCTTCCGCGTCAACGTACAGCGCCCCGGTATCTATGACCACTTGGCGGGCCCGCTGGGCCTCCCTCCAGAGATCTTCCAGCCTCCCTGCAGCCTCGTCCACGAACTCCTTGTATGCTTGGTATGCCTCCTCATGGCGGCCACAGGTTCCGATGTACCTTCCCCTGGCTTCCTTGGCCTGGGCGGTCTCCACCCCTCCCATCGTCAGTGCTGAGCCAATGTTCCTGAACATCGTCATATCATCGCTCCAAGTTGACCGCACTGTTGGTAATTCCCTCATTTGACATAACGGCAGTATACGAGTGCGGAGATTGAAAGTGTATCCCTCCCTCGGTTGGGCCCTTTGGGAAGTTGGGGCCATTGGGGCGGCGGAATCGCGTACCACTGACGTGATGTCAGAAGACAGTAAATCAGGCAGAGTGGCGACGTTACAGGATCAGGAAGGGACAGCGCTGACGGTGCGCATATCTTCGTTGGGATCCTTTGGAGCGGGGGACTCGGCGTTTCCCCTGCTGCGCTTGAGCCTGTAGCTCTAGCCGTTCATCTCCGGAACGTGGACATGGTGTGTGAGCCGGTCCGGCAGCGCGCCGGTAAGGCGTTCCGATCAGAACACCCCGGTCCACTGGTCGAGAGGCAGGTTGGTGATCATCATGGTGGAACCCCGCTCGCAGAGCTGCCTGAATGCCTCGAAGAGCAGTTGGGCCCCGGTCTGGGAAACGGAGATGAATCCCAGTTCATCTATGCGCAGCAGATCCAGCCGGGAGAACTGACGCTGCAAGTTGAACAGCCAGAGACTTATCCGGCGATCACGGGGACCTCCTGAAAGTTCTTACTCAGGTTGTCTGGAAATTCTCTTGGTATGCACGATAGGTATAATCATCGTGCATACCAAGAGACCCGCTGGAAGGCATGTTTTCAAACCTCTTGCCAGAGTTCAGACCACCAGATCTAGTGATGGGCTTACCAGAGCAGTCGCGCCGAGAGGGCGTCTGAGAACACTGGGCGACCCCGACCACTGTAGCTGTTTTCGTCGGCGGCCGAAAAGTGAATCCACTCTTATTCGATCTGACGCAGGCGAAGATCGAGCTTGTCTCTCAGCCAGTCCCCGAAGAGATTGAGGGACATTACGGTGAGCAGGATGGCCAAGCCGGGGATGGTGGCGATCCACCACGCGTCAGCCGATCGGTTCCGTCCGTTGGCCACCATGGAAACCCAAGCGAGCTCGGGGGAGGGAACGCCCGCACCGAGGAAGCTGAGGGAGGCCTCGACCAAGATCACAATGCCCACCTGAAGCGTAGCTACGACGATGAGAGTGTTGATGGAGCCAGGGAGCAGGTGGACGTACATAATGCGAAAAGGCGACGCCCCGGCGACGCGGGCCAGTGATACATAGTCGGTGGTCTTGAGCGTCAGGACCTCGCCACGGACCATGCGTGCAAAACGCGGCCAGATCCATATCGCCAGCACAGCGACGATGATCGCTAGCGATTGTCCCAACGACACTACGAGCACCAGAGCCACTAGGATCAGGGGCAATGATAGTTCGATGTCGACTAGTGTTACGTCAGTGTGGTATTGATGGGTAGAGAGACTTTAGCTTGATTCGGGCATCCGCGGTGGTGAAGCGCCAATCCACGCGTATGGCGTCCCGGTTGCGCCGGGCCTGCCACGCTGCTGCCTCCCTACGCAGCACGCTCCGGTCCGGGATGCGGCGGTCGAGGCATTGCCGGGCCATCACGCCGATCTCGATCTCTGCCATGTTCAGCCAACTGCCGTGCTTCGGTGTGTAATGTATCTCCAGCCGCTCCGCGATGCGCCGCGCCTCCGCTGGCTCAAAGGCCTCGTACAGTGATGACGGATGATGCGTGTTCAGGTTGTCCATCACCAGCACTATACGATCCTTGTCAGCGTAGTCCTCGTCCACCAGTTTCCGTACCACCTCAGCCCAGTCGGTCCGGGTCCGGCGCTCTGTTACCTCCACCCGCCGCCATCCCTCCAAGGGGGCAAACAGCATGAAAAGGTTGCTCACACCGTTGCGTTCGTATTCATAGTCGTAAGAACCTGCCGCTCCGGGGCGGACGGCCCAGCCGGGTCTCCTTGACCTGTTGCTTGCTGGTCTCGTCCAAGCACACCAGCACTTCGTTGTCCCGGTACTGTCGATGGTACACCTCCAGCACGTCCTCCATGGCGCAGACAAACTCCGCACTGCCTTCCGGCGGGATGCACCAGCACTCTTTCAGCCAGGGCTTGAGTTCGTTTTTTTCAGGGTCTGACGCACCGTTTCGGTGCTGATGCTGTCCACTATCTCGCATTCAACCAACTGGTCCGCCAGCAGCCGTAGGGTCCAGCCGGCACGGCCCTCCGGCGGTTGGGAACAGGTCAAGGCAATCAGTTGAGCCTCCCCTTCACCATCCAGTTTCCTCTGACGCCGGTTGAGCTGTTGCCTGCGCCCCAAGGCTGCTTCCAGACCCTCCTCCACGCAACGGCGGCGCACCCGCTCCACCGTGGCGGTGCCCACCTTCAGGGCCCGGGCGATCTCCTCGTCTTTCATGGCGCCGGCGGCCTGGTTCTCGTCGCAAAGCAACAGGATGCGGGCGTGAGTTTGTTTATAGGCCGCCGCCCGCCCTCTGGACACCAGCGCCATTAGCCCCTGTTGCTCCTGCCCCCAGCCTTACCCTGTACCTCTTCACCATCATCCACACCCCACGTCCCTAACCTTTCCTTGGCCACTGGCCTTATGGTACCCCACAACCCATCAGTTCAATGATGCGCGACTACTAGACGCATTATGAATTCGTCAATAAACCGACCGTACCAACCTGCGATCAATCCGAGGACAATTCCGATAATGCCGCCCACGCCCATGGCCCCGAAGGTCTTGAGGTCGGCCTGGATGCCCGCGCCCCCTCCGGAATCCGACCCCGCAATGGTCATGGCCCGCGGCACTCGTCTGGTAGTCATCGTACCTGTCCTGTGCTATGAAAATTGCGCCGATCTTACCACGGCCGCTCTTTCACACACCGCAGGAAACCTGGCGAAGCTAACCCTTGCAAAGCCGATTCAAGGGACAATCGGGAATTGCGCCGTTGTACGCCATCTTTGCCTTGTAGAAACAATAACGTGATTATGTTCACTATTTTGACTTTCCATAATCCCCCACCAATACTGGGCGCAGCACCAGTGAGGAGGTGGGATATGAACTACCTGGTAGTCGAGGACAGGCCCCTCCGGAGTGCGGTGGTGCATCGGGTGGGCTGCAACAGGGCAAAGGACTACGAGAGGAGCGCTCCCCGGGGCGGAGAGTGGCATGGCCCGTTCAGTACGGAGGTGAATGCGCTCGCTGCGGCTAAGAGGACGAAGCTCAGGACCATTCGCTCCTGCCATTGCTGTGTCAGGTAGCCCCGCTTCTTGGGGCGGTCAGCAAGGGGGCCCGGTAAATGCCGGGCCCCTTCTGCGCATCTAGCTAAGTGTCGCCAGATTGGCGGCTCACGGAATCGTATCTGGTAACACGGTAGCGCTCCAATTCAGGTGATCTCCACAATGTAGAGGCGGGTTTGAAATCCGCCCCTTCCGCACGCCAACGTGATGTTCTGCCGCCACACCATCCGGAATGTAACGCTACCCCGGTGACACTCACCCTTTGCCAGCCCCGTGAGTCCTTGATAACATAATCGTATATTTGTTCTAAATGAGCCTTTGCTGGTCAATCACAGTAATTCGGACTCAGTCCGGCTCCCCGCGCAAATACCACGCAAATGGTGAAGAATAAGCGGAAATGAGCGGATTTGATTAGATAATCAAAAAAATCCCGTCAACGGCTTTGCACGAAAAATAGGAGACGATTCCTGATCGCTCAAGCCACCAGATTGAGATGCTTCCACGAGATGCACTGGACAGACACCGAACGAATCCACCTCGGCAAATGCCGATGCCATTACAATAAAAACGCTACACCCGTGTATTGGAAACCCGGAGAAATTGAAAAGCATGGACGCCAGACTGCTAGAGAAATGCAAGTTAAGAGTGAAAGACGACTTCGTGACAGACAAAGATATGACAGCAGCCATATCCGAGAGATTCGAGGAAGTCGTTCAGGAACTGATAGAAAGCGCCGGGATGCAATATGAAGTGCATCCAAAATTAAACGGCAAGGAGCCAGACGGCGCAATATACCACGACTCCGGAACCACTTACGTGGAAGCCGTGTGCGCCCAAGGTCCTGACCAACTCAGAGAAAAGAAGGGCGAAGTAGACCTATGCCGACTGGCGTCGCCAAATCTCATTGAGGCAAGTCTCCATGTCACCATCCAATACGAAACGACCGAAAGAGACGAGTGGGACATCGAACGAACCTGCACCGCGAAGGAACTAACCGATCCACTGTCCAGAGCAGACGCAGAATCAATAATCGACCAAGTAACGATCCTAACCCAGGCGGAAACCGACCAATTTGGCGGCTGGAAGGGCGAAATAGAAATCAAGGGTCGCAGGTTTATAGCCTACATAGATCCACACACCCACGAATACAAATCACAACATATAGGACACTGCAAATGCGCGGTCTTCTTCGCAAAGGGAACCAGCAGTAGCGGACACGTCAGCGAACAACACATTTCTGACCGGGAACGGATACTCAGGAAAATAAAGAAATACACCACCCAGACCCTAAACGGACACCCCCTGATCGTTGCACTATGCAGCAACAACTCCTGGGGCCACGACATGGCCGCTGAAATCGCCTACGGAACAACATACTCCTTAATCAACTTGGCAGAAAACCCAGTTACAGGAGAAACTGAAACCGTCGGTGTCAAACAAATACTGATGCCCGACGGCATCTGGTGCGATGAGAAAGGCAACCACAGACGGCACTTGGCAGCCGTCTGGATATTCTACTCCTGGGACACGGTCAACAACTTGCCGCTACTGGCCATCAACCCGTTTCTGGAAGACGAAGAAGCCTACAAAGCGATCCCGAAACGTGTCCGAGACGTGAGCGTAGTATGCTGGCCAAAACCTGACGGCAAACTGTTCACCTGATCAATCACCAACAACCACACCAGAATTGCCAACGGACCCATCAATAAAGAATGAAGAAATAGACAGGTCCCATAGAAGGCCCGAGGCCCGGACGGGTAACCAAGGCAATAAAAAACAAATCTGCACGAAAAATCGGCAATTAAAGATATTTTCCGCGCAAAGCCCCCGTCAAACAATTCCCAGCTTCCTGGGTCGCTCTCGCAAGAATGTGGGAATTACCAGAAAAGCGAAAAATTCGTGCGTAAGGACCCCGCCCCTCCATCGCCACTCCCGCCCCCAGGTGACCGGTATTTCTTCGTTTTTGCCGACAGATGCAGGAGCCGGGACCAGGGAAATCCCCAAGGCATTCACCATCTGCATCGAGGTCTGGCCACGCCTCCCCGTGGCGGTTGCGCGATCCCCCCGCAGGTGCCATTATCAGCCGCAGAGAACCTGCCCGGAAAGGGTACCCGCTGAGGAGTCGTTATGAGCGAGCTTTCCTACATGCCCGCCACGGAACTTGCCCAGGCCATTCGGTCACGGCAGGTGTCATCGGTCGAAGTAACCGAGCATTTCTATGAGCGCATCAACAGGCTGGATCCACAACTGAACTCATATTTGGCCCTCTGCCAGGACCAGGCGCTGGCCGATGCCCGCGCTGCCGACGACGCTGTAGCCCGCGGCTGGGCACTGGGGCCCCTGCATGGCATCCCCATCTCCATCAAGGACCTGGAGATGAGCAAGGGCATTCCCACCACTCTCGGCTCGTACCTGTTCCGCGACCGCACCCCGGAAATCGACTCCATAGTGGTCGAGCGGGTCAAAGCCGCTGGCGCAATCGTGCTCGGCAAGACCAACACGCCAGAGTTCGGACAGTCCGGCACCACCGAGAACAAGGTGAGCGACCCCTGCCGCAATCCATGGAACACCAACCACTCGCCCGGCGGCTCCAGTGGCGGCGCCGGCGCTGCCCTCGCCGCCGGTCTGTGCACCATCGCCACTGGCAGCGACGGCGGCGGCTCCATCCGCATACCGGCCAGCTTCAGCGGCGTCTTCGGAATCAAGCCCACCCAGCACCGCGTGCCCCGCTACGGCGGCTACGGTCGCCCCGCCGCCAACCACTTCTCCCAGTCCGGGCCCATGAGCCGCACTGTCGCCGACACGGCCCTATTGCTCCAGGCACTGGCCGGTCCCGACAGCCGCGACCCCAACTCCCTGAAGGAGACACCCCCGGACTTCAGCGCCGGTCTGGCCCGGGGCGTCGAGGGGATGCGGATAGCTTGGAGCCCGGATTTCGGCTACGCCGGCGTCGACCCCGAGGTGGCGGAGATCACTGCCCGCGCCGCCCGGGTCTTCGAGGAGCTTGGAGCCATCGTCGAGGACGCGCCTCTGCAGCTTGAAGACCCCTTTGACTCCTTCTTCGATGTGTTCGCCACCGCCGCCTATACGTCATACGGGCATCTGCTGGAGGAGCACCGGGACGAGTTCTCGCCGCCAGCCCTGCACTCCCTCGATCACGGCGCCCGCGTGGACGGCGCCCGGCTCTCCCGCGCCATACTGCACGTCGACCGGTTGGGTCGGCAGATGGAGGACTTCTTCGATACCTACGATCTCCTCCTCTCCCCAACGATGGCAACCCCGGCCCTGGAGATAGGCACGCGGCCCTCGGTCATCGGCGGCAGGGAGGTCGACCCCCAGTGGGGATTCCTTCCCTTCACCTACCCCATCAACATGACCGGGCAGACCGCTTCCAGCGTCCCCTGCGGGTTCTCCTCTGGAGGGTTGCCCATCGGCCTTCACATCGTCGGCCCCCGCCAAGCCGAGGCAAGGGTCCTGCAGGCCTCGGCGGCCTACGAGCGCGCCCGCCCCTGGGCCAACAAGATCCCTGCCGGCTTCGAGTAAGGCATGATCGCAAGGGAAGATCCCGAACCAATTGGGCTTATCGGCATCATGCGTCAACCCCGATTCTTTCAGGGATGCAGGTTGCGGAACTGACTCGCTTATGGGGGATCAATTTCGACCCCATTCCGAGGGCTGCCGCGCCGTGGATGGCAGCCAATCGGTACAGGGGCGCACCGGTGCGACCGGCCAAATTCCGCCGTTGGCCTGCGACGCGGTGGGACACAGTTACGTCGTAGTCGTCGTTAAGAGCCAGGGCACCCTCTGCTGCAACCACTGTGACTACAGTCAGGACATCGGCATCTTTAGGCCAAAGTGAAGTCAGCCACGCTCTGGTCCCCATAACAAGCAGAAAGCCGTTCATCCTGGGCTTGTCGAAGGACGAACGGCTTTCGCTCGGGCCAGGGCCAGGGAGACCTAACCGGTAGCCAGCCTCTCCCGCAGCCGCGGCAACACCTCGTCCGAGACCCTGCGGCACTCCTCAACGTGAGGAAATCCAGAGAGAATGAACTCCTGGAAACCCAACTGAGCGTAGCTGTACAGCGTATCGGCGGCCTGCTGCGGCGTGCCGACGATGGCTGTGCCGCAGTTGACGCGCACCTCCGACAGACCGTTCCACAGGTGTGGCCCGACGCGGTGGTCGGGAGCCTCGCGAGCCTGCGCCTGCTGCCCCACCATCTGAGTGCCCACAATGGCCGACTGCCGCTGCGCCTTCACCGCCGGGTCCGCGTGGGCGATAAGCTCGTTGGCGGCATCCCAAGCCTCGGCCTCGGTGTCGCGCACCACCAGGTGCGTACGCAGACCCAGCTCCGGAGTCCGTCCGGCCTTGGCGAACTCGGCGGCAACGTCCACATTGCGCTTGGCGGTCTCCTCCAGCGGCTCGATCCACGACAGGTGCACATCGGCCTGCCGACCCGACAGCCCCAGCGCCCTGGGCGACGCGCCGCCCAGGTAGAAACGCGGCCCCTCCTCTCCGGGCTGTGGGGCGCAGTAGGCGTCGCGCAGCCGATAGTACTCGCCGGCGAAGTCCACCGGTCCCGGCTCCATCCAAAGCTTGCGGCAGGCGGCGATAAACTCCTCGGCGCGCTCGTAGCGCGTCTCGTGGGTGCTGTTCTCGCCCACCCGTTCGAAGTCGTTTTGGATCCCGCCCGGCACGACGTTGATATCGACGCGGCCCTTGGAGATCTGGTGCAGCGCAGCGGCCATCTGCGCAAACAGCCCCAGCGCTATGAACCCCGGACGCACGGCGATCAGGAACCGGATGCGGCTGGTGACGGCGGCCAGCGCCGTGGCGGTGGTCCAGTCTCGGCCAGCGGCGCATCTTCGGCGAATAGACCGTTGGCGAAACGGGTGGGTATCAGCAGCGAATAGTAGCCGCACTCCTCCGCCGTCTCCACCACCCGGCGCAGGTAGTCGAAGTCCGGCGGGCGCTCCGCCCGCATCGTTCCCGCCCGGCTGCCGTCGCCGTCGATCGGGATGAACCAGCTGAATCGTACCTCGTCCACGCCGTTGGTCATGTTATGTCTCGCCATCAGGTCGGATACGGAACCCACACAATGGGCTGTTACTGGTGCGCCCGTGCTTCGGTCATGTGGTCCCCCTCTTCCTTCTGGTACCACATGATCATCACGATGCCGGCAGCCACAATGCTCATCATGTCGCCGGGCACCCACAACATCAGCCCGCCCAATTGCTGATCGGTCATCAGAGACAGGCCATAGGGCTGAGTCACCTCGGCGTACTCGCTGTATAACAGGCCATCAGAGAAGGTGATGGCCGCCCCCAGAAGCGTATTCGGCAGCACGATCAGCCCCAGGTACAGCACCCTCAGGCCATAGTGCAGGCGGGACCTGTGTGGTGGCGGGTCGATTATCACCCACCAGAACAGGAAACCGGACAGGCTCATGGTCAGGTGCATCAGGGCATGCACCTCATCGCTGCGCAGGGCGAGGTTGAAGGCTCCCGGGAACTGCCACAGGTATAGGCTGCCCAGGAAGAAGAAGATAGTGAAGATCGGGTTGGTAAGCAGCCGGTAGACCTGGCGCACGTAATGGTTCCTGGCCATCGGCCGTATGACCCCCTGCCGCGCCCACGTTGGCATGCCCCTGAGCATCGGAGTCAGCGGCGCCCCCAGCAGGATGAACATGGGCGCAACCATGCGAAGGATGAAATGCTGCGCCTGGTGGAAGGACAGCAGGTGGTCGGAAAGGGGATCCAAAGGCGACTGCAGGGCAAAGAAGACCAGGAACAAGCCGAAGAGGAATGAGGCCTTCTGCCAGTTGTTCACCGGATGGGTGGGCCGTTCCCAGTTGCTCAGCCCGCTGAGGTAAACGTAGGCCGCAAGCAGGCACAGGATCGTCGGCAGTGGGTTGGTGTTCCACGCCGTCCACGGCTCCTGGCCACTGTCGATGCCGCCATGGGCCAGAACGGACGGAACTGCCCAAAGGGCAACAGGTACGATGGCTACCGCGGCCACCGCCATCACCAACCAGCGGCGACTACCAGTGGACGCTGTTCCTGCTCTCACGTGGAATCAGCCCGCGCGGCACGCTTGCGACGGTAGTCCCGGCGTGCGCTCCACCAGACGTAGGCTATCCCGCCCAGAATCGCACCGAACACCCCAAAGAACACCCAGGTTCCTTGGGTCAACCGGTTCACCGAAGGCACATCAAGGGTCGTAACATCGACTAGGTCTGCGCCCAGTGGTGAGGAAACATCGGTGCTTATCGTCCACTCCCCCGTAGAGTCCAGCTTCAGGTTCACGTCATATCGCTCTGGCAGGGCCGGCGAATTGGTGGCGATGGCCCACCCGGGATTACCCTCATTCGAGTTGCTAGCCACCAGCACGACCCTGGCGTCGCCTACGGGTTCACCGGATACCGGGTCGGTTACGAACACGGCATACTTCGCAGCACCCGCCCCAAGGTTGAGGTTGACCGGCACCACCCGAATCTCATGGGCACCGATGTGATGCACCTCGTCTTTGTCAGAACCCTGGGCGTCGACCGTCAGAGGAAGTAGCAACGTAATGGCCAAGATCAGCAGTACGGCAAGGACCGTCCACAGGTGGCGAGTAAGACGCTCAAGCGGATTGGAGGAAATTGTCATCTGAGACTGCCAACCGGCATTGCAAAAGGGGATCGGGGCAAAAGTTGCGCTTCAAGTATAACGCGCCGTCGCTATGTGCGCACGGCGCGTTAGAACCGCATTACAACCTCGGTATGCCAAGGCCTGCCGGACCAGGACAACCGGACGTCGGCGGGGTCAAGTACCCGATCTAGCGAGCGCTTCCAGATGGCCCACGTGGTGATTTTCGGCGCATTCGTCAGCCGTATGGCACAACTGGAAGGTCACGTGTTGCAGGCCGTAACTATCCGAGGCTATCCGTCGCAGTTGGCGTTGCATCTCGTCTTCGTATCCCTCGAAGTCCGGGTCCACGAGGATGTGAGCAGTCATCAGGTCGAAGTTGGAAGTAACGGTGAACACGTGGACTTCGTGAATCAGGGTCACCCCCGGCACGTCCTCGATTTCGGCACAGAGAGCGTACAGGTCTATGTGCTCTGGCACTCCTCCCAGCAGCACGTTGACCGACTTGAGCACCAGGCGCCAAGAACTCAATACGATCAGAACCGCGATGCCTATGGAGAGTATCGGGTCGATCAGCACCCAGTCCGTGAGGATGACTATGACCCCTGAAATTACCACTCCCACCGAACCCATCAGGTCAGCCATTACATGCTTGAAGGCTCCGTCCACGTTGAGGCTGTGCTTTGACCCCGCGTGAAGCACGAAAGCAGCGGCTATGTTTACGGCCAATCCAATACCGCCCACGATCAGCATCAGGCCGCCGTCAATATGGATTTCATGGTGGTTTACAAAGCGCTCGGCAGCCTCCCATACGATCCACCCGGCGATCACCCAGAGGCTCAGGGCGTTGAACGCAGCAGCCAGCACCTCCGTTCGCTGGTAACCGAAGGTCCACTCAATGGACTCGGGCCGACCTGCAATCCACACCGCCACCAGCGCCAGCGCGATCGACGCAGCGTCTGTGAGCATGTGTCCAGCGTCAGCCAGCAAGGCAAGGCTGCCGGAGAATATACCTCCAAGCACCTCGACGACCATGAAGCCGCCGATCAGGGTAAGAGCAATAATCAGGCTGCGCCGTCTCGCCTCACGAAATTCTGCGGCGTGGTCGTGAGCATGCCCGTGGTGATCGTGTCCCGAGTGATCATTATGGTCGTCATGCCCGCCGTGGTCGTGCTCTTCGTGCGCATCTTGGTCGTGATCTTAGTGCCGACTCTCAGGGGATGTCATATTCGCGTTTCCACTTCACATTAAGTTAGCGGATTGGCGATTGTGGGTCGGTTCAGTCACTAAACCGGGACCGGGCCTCCAGGTGGCCCAGATGATGGTTTTCAAGGCACCTGGTTGCCGATTCCTCGAATTGCAGCGTTAAGTGACTGACACGGTGTTTATCGTAAACTATCTCCCGCATCCGACTCAGCAAGTCATCGGATTTGCCCGCATAGCCGGATTCAAGGACTACATGGGCGGTCAGCGCATGATAATTCTCCGAAATGCTCCAAGCGTGAACATCGTGAATAAGCGTCACTCCCGGAACGTCCTCGATGTCAGAGCACAGACTGTAGAGGTCGAGGTGCTCCGGCGTTCCTTCCATGATGGCGTAGAACACCTTGAGGAGCAGCCGCCAGGAGCTGGCCGCAATAAGCGCTGCGATTCCAATGGAGACAATCGGATCCGCAGCCGGCCAGTCGTTGACCAGCACCAGCACGGCAGCGGCCACCACACCAACCGATGCAATGAAATCGGAGACCATGTGACGAAAGGCCTCACCCGCCCTTTCGTTGTGCCGGGCCCCGATGCGGAGAACCACCGATGCGACTACGTTTACTCCCAGACCGATGGCGCCGAGGACCAGCATGGGCCCTGCATCAATTTCCAGTTCGGCTCTGTTGGTATAGCGCCCGATGCCCTCGAAAAGCACCCACGCAGCCACCAGCCAGAGGGCCAGGGCGCTCAGCATTGAGCCGGCCACCTCGGAGCGGTGATAGCCAAAGGTGCGCTCGACAGAGGCGGGCCGGCTTTCGGCCCAGGATGCGAATAGTGCGATGGATATCGCCGCGCCGCCAGCCAGCATATGCCCGGCATCGGCCAGCAACGCCAGACTGCCGGAAACAGCACCCACGATGATCTCGGCGACCATCACGCCAATGACAAGCACCAATGCGATTATCAGGCTGGTGCGACCGCCGCTGCTCCCCTGATGGTTGCTGTCCCCGTCCTGCCGCTGGAGGCCCATAGTCATTCCTCCCTTGCCTTGGACATTGAGTGAAGACTCCCAACGCCCCTGGCCTAAGGAAGCTTCTACAGCTGGAAGGTCTTCTGCCAGATCCCGGGTGAACCCGCGGCGTGGGTCATTATGTCCCGCATTCGCTGGTTGTCGGCGTGGATGTCCCGCTGCCGCAGCCACTCGGCCGTCTGGGAAACGTTTTCGTCCTCAAACTCGTAGACGGTGGCATAGGACGGGGCTCCGCGGACAGCCTTCCAGCGGCGGCCCCTGATGCAGCCGGGCACCTTCTCGTAGTTGGGAACATATACTCCGGAGTACCAGTCGTTCCATTCAGCGTCGTTGGCTGCGGGAACGTCCATACGGCCAATCTGCAACGCGGGTGCCATGTCGCTGTTGGCAATGCCGTCGGAGAGCGCCGACGGGTGGATCATCTCGTATACGTTGTTCATAAAGTTGGTGCCGATGAGGCTGGGACTCACCCGCTTGCCCCATTCGGTGCGGGGGCGGTTCTTGAAAGCATCGCTTTCAACTACGGCCGGGCTTTCCAGTTCGTAGACCGCCATGTGGTTGGGGCCACTGCTGGTCGCCTCGTAACGGGCAGCGTTCAGCACTCCGGGCACAGACAGCAATTCGGCGAGGTGTTCCTCGTTATACCAGCTATTGAAGTCGTCTTCCATTTCTGCTGGAATGTCAGCCCACACGATCATGAGTCCTGTACCTTTCTTGGCCACGGTCAACCTCCAATGCGATATGAACGAGGTATATTTTCGGCAATGATAACCGGGCAGCGGTTATTTTGCACCTAAATTCGAGGGGTTACTCGAGGCTATCGCATTTGGCCGGAGAGATTCCGTAGCTGCAAAGGCAATTGAGTACATTTATCCGGTAGCGGCAGGACTGTGGAGGGTTATGCAGTATCCCCATGAGACAGAGTTATGGAGACAGAACTATGGGACTGAAGGGACTGAAGGGACTGAAGGGACTGAATTTTCCCACTCCTGTCCCATTTGGGCCGGAATTTTCGTTATTTCCTATCTAAGTTTTGCCCAGTGGGACAGAAATTTTTAATTCCCGTCCCATTTTGTCCCACTGGTCTTTCCGGCCTGTTCGCGGATGACCTGACGGCCCTGCATCAGCAGGGAATACGCTGAGGCCCTGCGCGCAGCAGGGAGCATACCAAGATATGGTACGGAGGTGTTACAAGGCTTGGCAAGCGGTAAATGTCATCAAAATACCCAAATGCGATTGCCCCTGGGCGTTACCATACAATTTGCTTTCGTTCCAGCTCTTCGACTTCCTCAGGCTTCAAGCCGAGAATTCCGGAGAAGACGTCCAGGTTGTGCTGCCCGAGCGTTGGAGTCCATTGATCAATGTGCGCCGGGGTTTCCGAGAACCTCCAGGGAGGAGCGACTGCCCTCTGCTGCTCGCCAGTCTCGTCGTTGTACACCATGGGGAACGCCTCCCGGGCCAGCAGGTGCGTGTCTCGGACAATTGCCTCCGGCGACAGCGACGGGTGCGCTGCCACTCCGTGTGCCTGCAGTATCTGGGTCGTCCCGGCTGCGGTGTGCTGGATAGTCCATTGCTCTACGAGCCCATCCAGCTCGTCGTGCCTTTTCCATCGGCGGAACGCGTCACCGAACTTGTCGCCGGCGGCCCATCCAGGGGAGCCTATGGCTGCCACGAAACCCTGCCACTCGATCTCCGACGCCACTGAAATGCTGACCCACTCGTCCTCGCCGCTGCAGCGGTAGACGCCCTGCGGAGCCGCTGAACCGTCCCGATTGCCCTGGCGATGTGGCTCTCGCGAGTTCATCGCCACGTCAAGCAGTTCCGGTCCGATGAATGACGTGGCCAGGTCCCGGACCGACACATCGACGTGCTGGCCGAGGCCGGTGCGTTGCCGCGCCGAAAGCGCTGCCACAGCAGCAAAGGCGGCCAGCATTCCGCCGGTGTGGTCCATGGCGTGGCGCAACTCAACAGGCGGTCCGTCGGCGTAGCCGGTCAGGTGGCCCAAGCCGCCAAGGGCAGAAAACATCGGGGCATACCCGGCGTAGTTGCTTTCCGGCCCGGTCTGGCCGTTTGAGGACAGTGAGACCAGAATTATATCCGGCCGCACCTCCTTCATTGCCTCGTACCCAAGCCCGAGCCTCTGCATTACTCCTGGCCGGAAGTTCTCCAGGGCCAGTTCTGAAATGCTTACCAGTTCCAAGGCCAACTCAACCGCCCTCGGCTCTTTGAGGTTGAGGCAAACCGACATCTTGTTGGCGTTGATCTGTTCGAAACTTGAAGGCGGCTTGCCGTACATTGTGTGGGTCCGCCGGGTTATATCGAGTCGCGCCGAGCTTTCGACCTTTATTACCTGAGCTCCCATTTGAGCCAGCATCGCACCGGCAAAGGGGCCGGCGGCATGTACCGAGAAGTCCGCGACCCGAATGCCGGTTAATGGCCCCGGCCGTTCCGCATTACCGTTTATTTCCATCGATTCCATTGGACCACCCATAACCTGGAGTGACTTGATTGCCCCTTGCTTCGATGCCTACATTCCCGGCCCTGGGTTACTTCCCTGCCTCCCGGATCCCCTTTGCTTTCGCATCATCATCGCCACCAGCCCTCCAGCCACCAGCCCGCACAGGTGCCCCTCCCAGGATACGTAGCCGCGGGTGGGCAGGATGCCAGACAAAATCGCAAGGCCGAATACTCCCGCGACGACAATGGCCACCAGAACCGACAGAATACTACGGTCGACCAGTCCCTTGACCAGAAGATATCCGAAGAATCCGAAAACCAGCCCGCTGGCCCCAACGTGGGTGGCCGACCTGCCCACCAGCCAAACCCCCATGCCGCCTACCAAGGTGATCGTCACTAGCACCAAGGGAAATCGCTTTCCCGAGCTGATGGCTGCCAATCCCCCCAGCGCCAAGAGGCCCACTGCATTGGACTGAACATGCAGAAAGCCGCCGTGTAACAACGGGCTGAGTGGTATGCCGATTAGACCGCCAGTGGTCCGGGGGACTATGCCGTACGCGTTCAGCGAATGACTGAACAGGCTGTTTGCCACCTCCACAACGAAGATCACCACGATGAATCCAATCAGAAGGAGGAGGCTGGAAATCACTCCCTGCCCTCATCCTTGCGTCCGCATCAGATGACCTCCGCCCGCGCCAGGGCGGTCAGTTCCTGTGGAGAATACCCCAGCCCGCCAAACACCTCGGCGTTGTGTTCGCCCAGCATTGGCACGCGCCGGAGGGTGGGCGGCGTTTCGCCCATGTGAAGCGGAAGATCGGTATATTCATAGCTGCCGGCCTCGGGATGCAGGATCTCCACAAAGAACTCGCGCTCCCGCTGCTGGGGACTCTGGAATACCTCTGATGGCGTCAGGTAGGGCGCTATGGGCGCTCCATATGCCTGTCCCTCCCGGTACAGCCATTCCCGGGTGTGCTCGGCGGTCCACTGCCGCAGGTTCTCGTTGATCGCCGGGCCGTGGGTTGCCGGGTCGCGGAACTTTTCGGGGGAGGCCCATTCCGGCTCTCCCAGCAGTCGCGCCAGGCCTTCCCACTGGCGCGGCTACACGTGTCAGTAACTCCACGTATCCATCAGCAGCCGGCATTACGGCCACCCATTCTGAAAAAGCGGCGAGAAGAAACGGGTCTCCGCGAATCCCTCTGCCTCCAGCCGCTGTACGGGCAGATATCCGATGGCAGTTGCGCTTCCTGCATCGAGCAGTCGACTGCTTGCCCGGTCCCGTCACCCCATTGGGCTATCGCGGCGCCGAGTATGCCACGGCGGCAGTCAAACCCCCTTGGTACGAAGCCATCATCGCGCCAGCGCAATCGGCGCACGTTCGGGGAAAGCATCCAGACGCCAAACGTTGGGCAGAGTGTTACCCTCGCCACCGGCATGGAAGATGTTGACGTCGTGCGCCGCATGGTCCGCGTTGGCCCCGCTGAGCCGAAGGGAGAGTAATGCCGCAAACGAACAGGCGCGGGTTGACTGCCGCCATTGCGTCCCGCTACAGGCCTCGAGTCTGTGCCAGCGAAGGTGGGGAGGTGTGGACAACGACGTCTGCCTCGCAGCCATTTGCCGCAGTACCTTCGGCCTTGGGGTCATCAATGTCCAGGGGTGACGCCTCGTTTGCCGTGTTGAGGTAGAGGAACGTCCCGTGCGCTCTGGTGGGGCACATCACGGGGAAGGGACCGCGCCGTCGCGATGGGTCGCCGGTCTTCGGCGACTCAACCTGACCACGTCTGACACCCAGCGAAGCCAGCAGTGCGCCGCAGTAGGGGACCGCCACCATGCACCCAACTCCAGCACTCGAAGCCGGCAAGGGCAGCTCTGCTCCGTGTACAGTTGATTCCAGATTGAACCATGGAGACCACCTTCAGTCCAAGACCCGGCGTCCGCCTCTATTCGGGCAGGATGGGCGGGCATCGGTTCGCTGCGAGGAGCGAGGCGCGTCTCTGAGGGTCAGGTCGCGGCGTCGGTGAGGGGGGGGGGGAAACAGGGAGCCGTGGATCGCGGGAGGAGCATCACGGTACCTGAACGGGGCTTGTGTGATCTTCTTGTACTTGCAGCATGGTCTCTACGCATACCAAGTTTCACCGGCCTCCACGACGTGTGTGCCCGCACCTCGTTCGTGAATCGTTCTTGACGCGATACCTATTGGCGCCTCTGCACAATGAGGGTTCGCCATTCTTATGTCGTTTGATTGAGGCTTTTCGGCACAGTCAACTATGGTCGTTTGAGACAAGGCCGTTCTTCGCCCCATCCGTTTTATCGTTTTTTGATAACTACACCGGTTCCAGAACAGATATCAACAAGTCTGAGGGCCCTGTAGTTCATAGGCACCGGGATACGCCCCACCGCCTCGCCACCGAGTTCGCGAGGCCTTGTCCAGATTTTACCTGCCGGATAGTTTGTATTTTTAGACTTACTGAACTGCGTTTACATTTATGGTTGCTAGCTACAGTGATCATGTTCTTTACATTTCCTGATATTTTTTCTGTGGTCACGGGGGAACGGGCTTCTATTCTAAGGTAGTAACCTGTGGGCCGCTGGAGCGTCGGTTCAGACCAGGAATGGCGAGACCGTCCTGCCCGCGAAAAAGAGGGCCCCCACGTATCACCGGTCCAGCTCGTCGCGACGTGTTGGTTGTCTCGAAAAAATAAATACCGGAGGCCGGAGCACCCCACGCGCCCTTCTCAGCGAGCACATGCTGGTCGATGGCCCAATTCCTCGGGGGGGTACTCGGGGCGTTTTCGATCTTTGTACGTGGATTTCGCTTGGCGTATTCCCACGCTCATTTGTTGGATCTCCCATGGCGCTGGCGCTGGGGGAGCCGTTTCTTCCCCTTTTGCTTTCTCCTGCAACACTTTACTACGACACGGCCAACAGCTCATACCTGGTTGGTGTAGATAGTCTCCATGACTGATACACAGCGTCTCGATAGCGCTCTGGCGCTCCCTGACGTCAAGCAACGTTCAATGCAGTTGACCGCATCACCGGGACGCAGGTTGCGAAGAGTATACCATTCTTTGCCGGCGAAGAAACCTTAACGCCCGTCAGGTCACCAGCGGGTCAGCCCCGACCAGTGACGCACATGTAAGGGGCGATGGTGACGATGATCGAGCCATACCTGAGTAAGCGCATATTCTGACGCGGAACATGGGGTTCGAATCGCCGATGCCGTTTACGAAGTTCATCAATGCGCCCAGGACGCATCGCGAACAAATTTCTCGGACTCATGCCGTGCCGATCATCGGCATTGGCAGGGGACGGCTTCGGGGTTATCCGCCCTCGATCTCCGGCATCGTCTCGAATACGCGTTCACGTCCGTTCTGGCTCGGTCACATTGGTTTTCTCAAGTTCCATTGTTGCTGTTCCTACCATATTACTTGCTCTTCTTCCAGCCGTACAGTTCCGCTCATCCACGCCAAGCATGCCACAGAAACATCGCGGTTGTGTTCGCGAGCAGCGGCCGTGGGCGATGTATGTTTGGCGGCGTGCGGCTCAAGCTCGCCAACATCAGTTTG